AGATCAAAGTGGTTGTAACTTTTTATAGAACACTGAAACTAATTTCACATGGCAGGCGGGGCATTTATGTCTTATAGACATTTTCTAGTTTTGTCCTCCATCTACAGATTTAACTTCGTTATCATGATACTTTATGTTGTTCACAAACATCAATTTTTAGATTTAGAAAGAAGGTCATCATTACTATAAATAGAGTTTTAGTGTTATTCCTGTTCTCCGCAGACATGATTTATTATCTTGACTGTCATAAAAGTTCACATACATGTTTAAATCATTCACCCTTTGTGTGAAACTGTCTTTTGGCCTTTTGAGTAAAAAACAAGGTCACTTTCACTTTAGTTAGAATCTTTTGCCATCATCACTGTACTGACTTCCTTTCTTGTTTGAATAACAAATTTAAAGCATATCTTTATAAACATCTCCTCTTTTGGGAGTTAATGTTTCAACCTTTTAAACATCCTCAATATACTACAGGGCTTCTGCTCAATATGTCATAGCAAAATTGAAGGCTCAGTGTGCGCCACCTTGTGGATGAGACAAGAGGACTAGTTTGATCCTTTGATGTACATCAAAAGAATCTCGCCATTGCATAACATAAAACTAAATAACTGGCTTTGAAGTCGGGTGTTGCTTCTCTGTAATCTTTAAAGGACAGGTATCAGCCTAGCGATTGGTCAGTTTTTTTTTCCATGAGACCAATCAAATAGCTAGTTGTGTGCCTTCAATTTTGCTATGATAGTGAGCGTAACCCCTGGAGTGTTGAGGATGTCTTTTAAAGAACACTCTTACTTTAAATAGATTATCTGACGCCATCAACCCAAAGTCACTTTAACCACTAAGGAAAATACTCACAAGGTATTGGTTTTGTCTGTGATGCCTTGTTTTACAGGACTTAAAGAAGCTTGGTACCATTATTAAACAATTCTAAGATAATAGTTAGAAAACTTAAAATGCAGACTTTTGGATATAATTTGAGCCAAAGATTAGAGTAGGTGTCTTACAGCTGACAGGCAGTTGGTTGAATATCTATCACCTGTAGTACTGTTAGATTTACTTATAACAAACTTACAATATCTATCACCTGTAGTACTGTTAGATTTACTTATAACAAACTTACAATATGTTTCACCTGTAGTACTGTTAGATTTACTTATAACAAACTTACAATATCCATCACCTGTAGTACTGGTAGATTTACTTATAACAAACTTACAATATCTATCGCCTGTAGTACTGTTAGATTTACTTATAACAAACTTACAATATGTTTCACCTTTAGTACTGTTAGATTTACTTATAACAAACTTACAATATCTAGCACCTGTAGTACTGGTAGATTTACTTATAACAAACTTACAATATCTATCACCTGAAGTACTGTTAGATTTACTTATAACAAACTTACAATATCTATCACCTGTAGTACTGTTATATTTACTTATAACAAATTAAACTTACAATATCTATCACCTGTAGTACTGTTAGATTTACTTATAACAAACTTACAATATCTATCACCTGTAGTACTGTTTGATTTACTTATAACAAACTTACAATATGTATCACCTGTAGTACTGTTAGATTTACTTATAACAAACTTACAATATCTATCACCTGTAGTACTGTCAGATTAACTTATAACAAACTTGCAATATGTATCACCTGTACACATTCAGGCAAGGTAAATCCTAAGACCCCTTCATTTGAAAGTGCATCAACACAAAGAAATTGCATGGCCTAGTCTCGGGATGGGATTTTGGTGAAATAACATTACTTCCTACATTTCTATTGTACTGTTTTGTGACGACAAGCACGATACTGCTCAGAAATAACGAAAATCAGCGGGGACAATCTGTAACCGGTTTTACAAACTGTTTTTTAAGAAGACAATGTTTCCTTTGCAAGGCTACTTAAAATGCTCGACTCTGAATCCAGAATTACAAACACAATGAATTGAAATTTATCTGGCAATCACATGATGTTATTTAGGGGATTCCATTAGCTACACTGCACTCAATAAAATTCAAAAAGTGGAATCATCAATCAGAAACGTTCAGGACATTCAACAGAACATGCCATAGGAAGCACGACCACTACTAAAACTACAGTGGATTGCAGAATACTCAACAGAAAATACCTAAAAACTGAATAGACAGCATTCAAAGCCAATTTGGGAAAACTGTCAACAAAGCTCCAATAATTTTTTTATCGGATGTGAAAGGATCGACATGCAGGGAAAATGATGTAATAGCAAAACTTAAAACAGAGGTTCTGCTTACATTCATGAAGACCTACTTTTGAATTGAAAGGAGCTTCAAGTTTTCATATAAATGGCTGTTAGTCTGAAGTGGCTGCATGTGTACCATGTAAATGGCTGTTAGTCTGAAGTAGCTGCATGCATACCATGTAAATGGCAGTTAGTCTGAAGTAGCTGCATGTGTACCATGTAAATGGCAGTTAGTCTGAAGTAGCTGCATGTGTACCATGTAAATGGCAGTTAGTCTGAATTTAAATAGCTGCATGTGTACCATGTAAATGGCAGTTAGTCTGAATTTTAATAGCTGCATGTGTACCATGTAAATGGCAGTTAGTCTGAAGTAGCTGCATATGTACCATGTAAATGGCTGTCAGTCTGAAGTAGCTGCATGTGAACCATGTAAATGTGTACCATGTAAATGGCTGTGAGTCTGAAGTAGCTGCATGTGTACCATGTAAACGACTGTCAATCTGAAGTAGCTGCATGTGTACCATGTAAATGTCTGTCAATCTGAAGTAGCTGCATGTGTACCATGTAAATGGGTACCATGTAAATGGCTGTTAGTCTGAAGTAGCCGCATGTGTACCATGTAAATGTGTACCATGTAAATCGCTGTTAGTCTGAAGTAGCTGCATGTGTACCCTGTAAATGTGTACCATGTAAATGGCTGTTAGTCTGAACTTAAATAGCTGCATGTGTACCATGTAAATGGCTGTTAGTCTGAAGCAGCTGCATGTGTACCATGTAAATGTGTATCATGTAAATGGCTGGTAGTCTGAAGTAGCTGCATGTGTACCATGTACATGTGTACCATGTAAATGGCTGTTAGTCTGAAGTAACTGCATGCATACCATGTAAATGGCAGTTAGTCTGAACTAGCTGCATGTGTACCATGTAAATGGCAGTTAGTCTGAATTTAAATAGCTGCATGAGTACCATGTAAATGGCAGTTAGTCTGAAGTAGCTGCATATGTACCATGTAAATGGCTGTCAGTCTGAAGTAGCTGCATGTGTACCATGTAAATGACTGTCAATCTGAAGTAGCTGCATGTGTACCATGTAAATGGCTGTTAGTCTGAAGTAGCTGCATGTGTACCATGTAAATGGCTGTCAGTCTGAAGTAGCTGCATGTGTACCATGTAAATGGCTGTCAGTCTGAAGTAGCTGCATGTGTACCTAAATGACACAGCCAGCATTACAGTACTGACCCTTCAGCAGGAGGTATCTCTGAATTAATGAAAGATTCAAGAGTAATTTAGATGATGCATGTGTATTGTTTCCATCTTGAATATGGAGCAGAATGCCATGTAAACACTTGTTTCTGTTGTTAGTAGAGATATTATACCTAAGATAGCATTAGACGGGCTGTTTATGATGTAAAACGAGACGAGTAAACATAATTAGTGTAAACATTCAAGAGTGAGCCTGTTGCCATGGTGAGATGTATGCACCAAATTATACGAAAAGCAACTGGACATTCAGTCTGCACTGTATGAATCCCAAAACAAATTTTAAACAGCTCTGCCAACAAATCATGTCATTAATCCATTTATAAACATTGAAGTAAATGATAACAGAAGCTAGGACTTTCACAGGGAATGTATACATAGAGTTGTAAGAACTGAACATAAGCTTAAACAAATACACACGTCCATTAATCCAAAAACGTGTAAAGCCACCGTAGTACATACATCTTTGATTCATCCACGGGACACGTCCATTAATCCAGAGACGTGTAAAGCCAACGTAGTACATACATCTCTGATTCATCCCCAGGACTCGTCCATTAATCCAGAGACTTGTAAAGCCACTGTAGTACATACATCTCTGATTCATCCACGGGACACGTCCATTAATCCAGAGATGGTAAAGCCACCGTAGTACATACATCTCAGATTCATCCATGGGACACGTCCATTAATCCAGAAACGTGTAAAGCCACCGTAGTACATACATCTTTGATTCATCCACGGGACACGTCCATTAATCCAGAGACGTGTAAAGCCACCGTAGTACATACATCTCTGATTCATCCATGGGACTCGTCCATTAATCCAGAGACGTGTAAAGCCACTGTAGTACATACATCTCTGATTCATCCACAGGACTCGTCCATTAATCCAGAGACGTGTAAAGCCACCGTAGTACATACATCTCTGATTCATCCACAGGACTCGTCCATTAATCCAGAGACGTGTAAAGCCACCGTAGTACATACATCTCTGATTCATCCACAGGACTCGTCCATTAATCTAGAGACCTGTAAAGCCACCGTAGTACATACATCTCTGATTCATCCACAGGACTCGTCCATTAATTCAGAGACGTGTAAAGCCACCGTAGTACATACATCTCTGATTCATCCACGGGACTGACGTGCTATTTTTGTTCACAAAATGAATTCAATTGAAAAACCCACCTAGAAATCATATAACAAATGGCTTGTAAAGAAAACAAGTCGAGGTTTGAAAAAGTTGACAAACAATCACTAATGTAGTGTGATTATGTACAGATAGATAGGTCACCAAATCAGTAAAGACAACGACGACAATGTTATATCTGATGATGATAATAACGCTAAACCCCCCCCCCCCCCCAAAGAAAATATTAAGATAAAAATTATTGAGAAATATAACAGTGTGAATTAATGACTACACAGCCTGTATGAATAAGACAACTGCTACAGGTATTTTTAATTCAGTTTTAATAATTCAGATTGTTTACAAGATTGCTGCCTGGAACACTGACAGACTGTCCTACAGACGGTAAGGTTAGGAGCTCAGGGTTCTGTGATGTATAAGAAATGAATAAGGTAATGAAAATAAATGGTGGATATTGTGAAGGAAATTTATTCATAACAGGCAGGCATTGTAGTCAGTGAAGGGTTTAAGCATTGGTTCCTTGCGTGAGGTTTGTGATTGACCCAGAAATTGTTGGCAATAATGCAGCTGTGTGTTAATTTCTCTCGGAAGATACTGATTTTAAAATACCAGAATAATAATATGACATCGATCATTGAATAATAGAATAGATCATAATCTGGCGGTTTTTTCCTGGAAGACAACTCTAAGTATGTCAAAATATCCCTAGAAATTATCATAATGGCACCAACTGTTCCTATTTCCTTAATGCAGCGAGTCCACTGATATTTCTGGGTTGCCATTGCCTTTTATTGTAAGCAAGTGTTGAATGAAGAACATTTTGCCGTTTGATGCTGAGGTTAGAATTGGTATAGGAATTTAGTATTGAGTTGAAAATTGTGATTTTATTTTTACAGATTTGATGTGATCTATGTCGTCACAGAATCGAGTGTCACCAGAGCCTGGGGCTGAGGAGGTTGGGGTCAGGTATCGAGGTAGTGAGTCCTACCTCATGGAGACTCGCTGCCCAGGAAGCAGCATCACAGACATCAGGGTCCCGAACTGCTCTCAGGGGAGCAGTATCACAGATGTACATATACCATCAGCCCCTCAACAGGCCAACTACCTGGAACCTGGGCAGGAATCATTTCCACAACGCCGTGAAAATGCCTGGGGAGACGATTGCTACAATGATGATTTGCAGAAGGAGACAAGTCATCAAGGAAGTGTTTTGACAGTAAATACTGACAACTCACAGATTACAGCTAGCCAACCAGACAGTGGCTTTATTGCAGATCATCATTTTGACAGTTCTCAGAAGGAGGCTAAAAACCAAGACAACAATTGGTCAGAGGGTCATCATAAGGATAATGAAGACGAGGTTCATCGAGTTAGAAATGCTTGGGCAGATCCTTATCCCTACAAGACTGATCATGTTGACAATAGCAGTTCTGAAGGTCATAAGGACAGCAAGCAGAAGGAGCGTGCAGGGCCAAGTTTGGCCTTTGCAGCTACCAATGACAATACTCAACCACTGACTGCCCTTCCTGAACATTCTCGGACTGTGTCCAGTCACGATGACAGCTCACGAAAAAATACTGGTCAACAGAAAACTGCTCAAAATTGGTTACCACGGAAACACAAAGAAGACATACAGGACTGGGCATATGATGATAATGTGCCAATAAAGGACTTTCCTTTACCAAACATAGAACGGCCAAATGATCGCATTATTGGAGGTAAGCACTCCCTTTTTTAATAACAGATTTCTTAGAAATTTACCTTACTTACATTGGGCAATCAAGGTAGTATACATTGGGCGATCAAGGTAGTATACATTGGGCGATACATTGGGCGATCAAGGTAGTATACATTGGGCGATCAAGGTAGTATACATTGGCAGAGTTAGGAGGGGGATGCGCTTTATGACCATCCCACCAAAAATACATGCAAATCTTCTACAAAACTTTTGTCCTTTTCATGATTTCAGCACATAACGAACTATCCCAGATCTATTTCTGTATAACTGGTGGTGTATATATCCTGATCAGGTATGTGGTGTTATATTATCAAATATAACTACTTCAACAACACAGATATGTAGATGTCCTTTATTTGCTGTAAAACACAAAGTTGATTGACACTGTTTTAATTTAGCTTCACATCAAAGAGGAAGATAATTGACACTGCATGGTCAACTGTCAGGTCAGCCGTTGTTTTAATTTAGCTTCACATCAAAGAGGAAGATAATTGACACTGGTCAACTGTCAGGTGCTGGTTGGTAGATGTCGTGGTGGAGGAGTCTAACATCCTATAGGTGCTGGTTGGTAGATGTCTCAGTAGAGGAGTCTAACGTCCTATAGGTGCTGGTTAGTAGATGTCTCGGTGGAGGAGTCTAATGTCCTATAGGTGCTGGTTGGTAGATGTATCGGTTGAGGAGTCCGACATCTTATTGGTGCTGGTTGGTAGATGTCTCGGTGGAGGGGGCTAATGTCCTATAGGTGCTAGTGGGTAGATGTCTCGGTGGAGGAGTCTAACGTCCTATAGGTGCCGGTTGGTAGATGTCTCAGTGGAGGAGTCTAACGTCCTATTTGACACTGTTTTAATTTAGCTTCACATCAAAGAGGAAGATAATTGACACTGGTCAACTGTCAGGTGCTGGTTGGTAGATGTCGTGGTGGAGGAGTCTAATGTCCTATAGGTGCTGGTTGGTAGATGTCTACATCAAAGAGGAAGATAATTGACACTGGTCAACTGTCAGGTGCTGGTTGGTAGATGTCGTGGTGGAGGAGTCTAATGTCCTATAGGTGCTGGTGGGTAGATGTCTCGGTGGAGGAGTCTAACGTCCTATAGGTGCTGGTTGCTAGATGTCTCAGTGGAGGAGTCTAACGTCCTATAGGTGCTAATTAGTAGATGTCTCGGTGGAGGAGTCCGACGTCCTATAGGTGCTGGTTGGTAGATGTGTCTCGGTGGAGGAGTCCGACATCCTATAGGTGCTGGTTGCTAGATGTCTCAGTGGAGGAGTCTAACGTCCTATTTGACACTGTTTTAATTTAGCTTCACATCAAAGAGGAAGATAATTGACACTGGTCAACTGTCAGGTGCTGGTTGGTAGATGTCTCGGTGGAGGAGCCTAACATCCTATAGGGGCTGGTTGGTGGATGTCTCAGTAGAGGAGTCCGACGTCCTATAGGTGCTGGTTGGTAGATGTGTCTCGGTGGAGGAGTCCGACATCCTATAGGTGCTGGTTGGGAGATGTCTCGGTGGAGGAGTCTAATGTCCTATAGGTGCTAGTGGGTAGATGTCTCGGTGGAGGAGTCTAATGTCCTATAGGTGCTAGTGGGTAGATGTCTCGGGGGAGGAGTCTAATGTCCTATAGGTGCTGGTTGGTAGATGTCTCGGTGGAGGAGTCTAAGGTCCTACAGGTGCTGGTTGGTAGATGTCTCAGTAGAGGAGTCTAACGTCCTATAGGTGCTGGTTGGTAGATCTCTCGGTGGAGGAGTCTAAGGTCCTACAGGTGCTGGTTGGTAGATGTCTCAGTGGAGGAGTCTAACGTCCTATAGGTGCTGGTTGGTAGATGTGTTGTTGTAGGAGTCTAACGTCCTATTGAAGCTGGTTGGTAGATGTCTCGGTGGAGGAGTCTAATGTCCTATAGGTGCTGGTTGGTAGATGTCTCGGTGGAGGAGTCTAACGTCCTATAGGTGCTGGTTGGTAGATGTGTTGTTGTAGGAGTCTAATGTCCTATTGAAGCTGGTTGGTAGATGTCTCGGTGGAGGAGGCTAACGTCCTATAGGGGCTGGTTGGGAGATGTCACGGTGGAGGAGGCTAACGTCCTATAGGGGCTGGTTGGGAGATGTCACGGTGGAGGAGGCTAACGTCCTATAGGTGCTGGTTGGTAGATGTTTCGGTAGAGGAGTCTAACGTCCTATAGGTGCTGGGTGGTAGATGTCTCGGTGGAAGAGTCTAATGTCCTATAGGTGCTGGTTGGTAGATGTGTCTCGGTGGAGGAGTCCGACGTCCTATAGGTGCTTGTTGGTAGATGTCTCAGTGGAGGAGTCTAACGTCCTATAGGTGCTTGTCGGTAGATGTCTCAGTAGAGGAGTCTAACGTCCTATAGGTGCTGGCTGGTAGATGTCTCGGTGGAGGAGTCTAATGTCCTACAGGTGCTGGTGGGTAGATGTCTTGGTGGAGGAGTCTAACGTCCTATTGAAGCTGGCTGGTAGATGTCTCGGTGGAGGAGTCTAATGTCCTATAGGTGCTGGTGGGTGGATGTCTTGGTGGAGGAGTCTAACGTCCTATTGAAGCTGGTTGGTAGATGTCTCGGTGGAGGGGTCTAACGTCCTATAGGTGCTGGTTGGCAGATGTCACGGTGGAGGAGTCTAACGTCCTATAGGTGCTTGTTGGTAGATGTCTCAGTAGAGGAGTCTAACGTCCTATAGGTGCTGGTGGGTAGATGTCACGGTGGAGGAGTCTAACGTCCTATAGGGGCTGGTTGGTAGATGTGTTGTTGTAGGGGTCTAATGTCCTATTGAAGCTGGTTGGTAGATGTCTCGGTGGAGGACTCTAACGTCCTATAGGTGCTGGTTGGTAGAGGTGTTGTTGTAGGAGTCTAATGTCCTATTGAAGCTGGTTGGTAGATGTCTTGGTGGAGGAGTCCGACGTCCTATAGGTGGTGGTTGGTAGATGTGTTGTTGTAGGAGTCTAACGTCCTATTGAAGCTGGTTGGTAGATGTCTCGGTGGAGGGGTCTAACGTCCTATAGGTGCTGGTTGGAAGATGTCTCGGTGGAAGAGTCTAATGTCCTATAGGTGCTGGTTGGTAGATGTGTTGTTGTAGGAGTCTAACGTCCTATTGAAGCTGGCTGGTAGATGTCTCGGTGGAGGAGTCTAACATCCTATAGGTGCTGGTTGGTAGATGTCTCGGGGGAAGAGTCTAACGTCCTATAGGTGCTGGGTGGGAGATGTGTTGTTGTAGGAGTCTAATGTCCTATTGAAGCTGGTTTGTAGATGTCTTGGTGGAGGAGTCCGACGTCCTATAGGTGCTGGTGGGTAGATGTCTTGGTGGAGGAGTCTAACGTCCTATTGAAGCTGGTTGGTAGATGTCTTGGTGGAGGAGTCCGACGTCCTATAGGTGGTGGTTGGTAGATGTCTCGGTGGAGGAGTCCGACGTCCTATAGGTGGTGGTTGGTAGATGTCTCGGTGGAGGAGGCTAATGTCCTATAGGTGCTGGTTGGTAGATGTATAGGTGGAGGAGTCTAATGTCCTATAGGTGCTAGTGGGTAGATGTCTCGGTGGAGGAGTCTAACGTCCTATAGGTGCTGGTTGGTAGATGTCTCGATGGAGGAATCTTAGGTGGATATACCTAATAGAGTTCCATAGACGGTAGGTAATAACAGGTTGGTAAGAGATGGAGCATCAACACCAGCGATTCTGTGAACTAGGAGATTTTATTTGTTGACATATTTCGGTTGGCCTTATTCACGGAAGCCCTTGTGTTGATGCTCCATCTCTTACCTACTTGTTAACATGATAGTAGTTATTACATCAGTAAAAATACAACTCTAGATATAGCAGTAGTTATTATGTCTCTCCTTCGAATGAAGGGAGACATTTTGTTTTAGTACTGGTTCTTCTTCTTCTTCTTCTGGTTCTCCTTCTAGTTCTTCTTCTAGTTCTTCTTATCGCAACTTGTCCAGCCATATATTTTAAACCGTCAAAGAGATCTTGATAAAACTTGAGGTATGTCTGCATCACCCACAAAAGGTGTGAAGTGTACTGGAATTAGGTCACTGTGATCTTCACCTTAAGGTCAAAGGTCAAATAAGTGCAACATTTTCAGTAAATTCTTATTCAGCCCCTAAATTGTAAGCCGTTTAAGATATCTTGATCAAACATGAATTATACCTGCATCACCCACAGAAGGTGTGCAGTGCACTGGAATTAGGTCTCGTGCCCCACTATATACAGAGGGATGGCCCTTTGTTTATTTTTAATACCAAAGTTTGTCCGGAGCATAAGTTCCCTGTTATTTTATCTACGCTGACCAAACTTACCATATTTATGTATCTTGGGAAGGCGGAATCTCTCGCACTGAAATCAGGTCATGTGCCCCGCTATATACAGAGTTATGGACCCTTGCTTATTTTTCATATCAAAGTTTGTACACAGCATAAGTACCATGTTATTTCGTGGCCCAAACCTGCTATATTTATGCACTTGGGAGGGCGGAGAGTCGTGTACTGAACATCACCCATCTGCGCATAATGGATCATAGATACACAGTTATTACTATTTGACTTTATTTATATAATTTTATTAAATGACCTAAATACACTAAGTTGAAGTTTATAAAAAATAACGAGCCAATAGAGGCACAAGATTGTAATCAGATGTGTGATAATGCCTATTTTTATATACATGTAAATGTGTCTATAGTACCATAGCTACCGAAACTTAACCAAATTATTTTAACATGAACCGGAATAATTTAAAAGTTTAATGTTTTAGAATGTACACACCTAATCTTGATGTGACCTTTCTATTCTTACAAATATGCGTATTGGCTAATAAAGAAAGACACATTGAACAAAAAGTTATATATACAGCACTAGATAAAATACAGCAGTTAGCGTGCGGCACTATAACAATGGCAAAAGATAAAATACAGCAGTTAGCGTGCGGCACTATAAAAATGCCACTAGATAAAATACAGCAGTTAGCGAGCGGCACTATAATAATGCCACTAGATAAAATACAGCAGT